AGATGCTGCATAGGTCTTAATGGAGCTACCATTTGCTGCGCTAAGGTCGTAATCACTACTCGTAAGGCATCCCTTTAGTTTATGCCGAGGAAAACAACAGAGATCTGAGCCAGTATCTATTAAATACTGGTATTAAGATGTCTGGTCTGTCACAAAAAGTCAGCGGCTGGGTTGAGCACAATCAGTTGCAGACCTTAATGGTTGTTGTTGCAGTTTTCCGGTACGGTATTCCTAGTGGCATTTTTGTAACAACATTTCACTAATTTAGCTAGTGAAGTGGTATGTGAGTGCTGCCGGTTAAAAGATCTACGTGCGTGCGTGATACTACGTGATCGATTAGCAGAAAGGACTGCAGCTTTATTGGTGAATTCGGTTACTTGTTGTAGGCTTTGAGACTGGAGTAGATGGAGTTTCACAGAAGAAAATTAAGTTTTTGCGTCCAGCAATCTCTACAACTTTGTCAGATAAGGTAGACAGCTTATCTAAGCCAAGGTTAGTTTGTGTGGCCAGTATAGCCTGAACTTTCTATGGTAGTCAACGAATCCAAAGCTTGCGCAAGATGTTTTCATCAGATAAAGCATTACCAGCTAAAGAACATAGGCCCCAGTGAAACTTTTTTGTAGCAGAGGGTGCAAGCAAGCATGCAGCTCACCCGACGAAAAGTGTCGACCACCGCCCATGAACAACTATAACACCAGTGGAATTGCAGGTGCCTTGTCAGACTTTTAAAAAGAAGTAAGCTCGTTTCTTGAAGGTCCCTAAGTCGTAACGGGGATGGTCGTCTATCACAGAGTTCCTCCGTATTAATGAGCTGCCTTACACGCCTCTCCTAAGACACAGAAAGCTTCCTTATCAATTCTTCTTTTAACTTGATGTACTTTTGTCTCATATCCGGGGGTCTTGCAATTATATCTTCTACTTCTCCGGCAACTTTTTGATCCAATTGAGCATTAACATAACTAAACTTCGTGCTATCTGCTAAGGTGCCTAAAATCTGAAAATGGGTATCCACTTGAGGAAACCATAAGGCTGGTTTATTTGTACAAAAGGGTGGTGATTTGACACAAACCTTGCACAATTCTGAGCCAGTGTTTTGATCTTGCTGTTGTTGAAATCCAGCAGGCTGAACTTGAAAGCGCTGAACCTGGGCCTGCAAATCCATGCTTTGGGATATGATTTCCTGTTCAGCATTGACTACTGTTTTAAAAGTTATATGTAGTTTATAAATTAGTACCTTATCAACAAATGAAATCAAAATTAAGAAACCAGTGCTAATCCAGGGAATGAGGTAGCAGGACAATCACAAATAATGAAAAAAGACTTATAAGGTAAATAAGGTATAAACATACATTCCACATTTAAAAATAACCAATGTCTACAGTATAGAAAGTAAAATTTAGATTTTTTAGTTTAAGTAAATATTGTAATATGCATAAACAACAATAATAATTCTAAATAATGTAATATAATAAAACAAAACAAAACCGTAAAATGCAGAAACAAATGTAAAAGTGCTTAACAAAAGATTAACAAGTAATAAAAATTAATTAGAATTTAAAATACAAATATTGCAAAATTATGCATAAAATAATATATTTTGTAAAGTTTATACGCAATAATGATTATTGTTATTATAATGATTAGGTAAAATTTACTTTTATGAATAAGTCCTTAACGAAATCTAGTTTTCATAACCATAACCATTAATTTGGTACATCAGAGGTAACAGTTACTTACAGTTTTTGCACCATTAACCGTAACCAAACTGATGGGTGATTATATGTCTCCCAACGGATAGGTCTTAAGATGAACTTGGACAAAACAAAGATCATGTTTAATGTCCATGTCACACCTATGCCGATAGTTGTTGGGAGCACTAAGCTCGAAGTTGTGGCAATGGGCCGGCCATATAGCTCGAAGAACTGACAAGCGATGGGAGAAAAAGGTACTCGAGGGGCAGCCTCGTAATGGTAGGCGAATTGTAGGGCGATCCTCCACTAGAGTGAGTGACAACCTGGTAGGGCATGAAAGAAGTCAATGGATGCAGGTGGCTAAGGACCGTGTTTTGTGGCATTCCTTGTGGGAGACCTATGTTCAGCAGTGGAATTGTGAAGGGCTGTAAAAATGATGATGATGAAATGTGAAGTGTTGATTGCGACGTGCACTTATTACTCGATCGCAAAAATTGTTACTTCGCTGTTGCAGAACACGTACATGGACGTGAATTTAACTACCCCTACTGCAAAGATGCAGTTTTCACTAGGCACCGATGTAAAATCTTCACAACCAAATCGTTGTCTCCAATATAGTGATTTATAAAAGAAGAGACGAACTTTACAATTCCTATTTAATATATTCGAAGAAAAGAAGAACTTACAGATACAGGTAATTATGCGAGATCAATTATAATTCAAATTCTTAATCCTAACCACTCCTTACAGATCACCAATTTATAAATTACATATTAATGTAGCAATACATAAAACTAAACTATGCCATTTATTAGCCTAGGATACGTGGCATTCCGCCGCATTATCCACCTGTGAAGCACACCGTCAGGAAGAACGCCAGCACATTGCTGTCACTCGAGAACTATTTTGTCAATTATTTTATAGAGTCGTTACAGCTCAGGGGCTTATCACGCGCTGTAAATTACACAGAATGTAAGCAACCCGGTTCGATCTCCGCTGGCACAATTGAAATTTTATTGCAATGTTAAGTGCTGATTTATAACGTCATCGACAGTGAAGAGAAACATCAAAAGGAAACCTGGATGTCTGAGAAATTAAAAAAGTATAAACTACACATTTTAAAGACATGGGAAGTTAGTCAACACGTATTGGAGCAGTACGGTATATACTTCTTTGCCCTAAAACACTCTCCTCAGGAGAGACATTTATAAAGCCTGTAACTTTACTGTGTCTTAGTTAGTCTATAGTGTTTTAAATCTCAATATGTCTTGTCCTAGATGATGTCCCACTCTCCATCCAAGGACGTTTACTCAAAATATATTTTGTCAGCAAATCGTTATTAAGACAATAGCTAAGTAAAATTACAATTATGAAAGTAAATAAGTAAAGTAAATTCGAAGTTACAGATCTGACTTGTAGAAAACTTTTAACATAATGAATTTCATACTAATTAGAAATTTTAATTGATAAAGTTTGAGAGGTTTGTACCCAAAGTTACGTCGAACATTACAGCGTAGCGATGTTGACACATACGATGTACGGGGCTTCGCTAAATTAATTACTATTGACATAGCCGCTAGGTATGATCGGAGCCGACACTGGTCCTTATGATCTATACCTGAACAATTTATTAATATATCGCAGCAGTTAGTTACTTGGAGTATTCTGAATACTAATATGTGCTATATAATTCTATGACTGATTATTTCTCACGCAAAAGCTAAATAAAGGCATTCAGAAAACGCAGCCAGTATACTACGCTCGAAAATACGGACTTCCATTTGACACGGTCCCGACACGCCTGTCACATCTTTCATATCTGTCTTTCTATACACACATGATGGTCGGTTTATGGTACCCATAATTTTGCCCATCTTTAATTATATCACCAATTCGATCGATAAACTTCCATTTTCTGCAGCATCTTACAATCACGAGAAGTAGAGCTTTAATGGAATCATATTAGTTTTTCTTTGTTGTTTTAAGTACAATACTATGTAATGCAAATACCGTGTAGTGACAGTGTAAGAATATCTACCCCATATCATATCGTAGGTGACGTGTGGCGACAGAGAGAAACAGATCGGCAGCGGTGTCTTCCTAATAACGAATAAAAATAAAAAGCTGCGGTTGCCAAGCGTTTATGTTCCTGTATTCCTATGTTCCTATGGAGGCCTTTGTTCAGCATTTGACTTTTATAGGCAATCATGTTAACGGTAATGCAAATAAGTTCACTTATTTCTTTTCAACATGAGCCAAATTCAAAAATGAACACAGTACTTAAATATGCGGAAATAATTTTCCGGCTCTTTTTTTACCCCGTTTAGATTGTGTATCCAAATCCAGCAGGCCTTTGTTATAGGTTCGGTGCGAGTACATTGTAATTTATGTACTGTACTACATGTATCAAAAATATAATAAAACTTCTCTCTTTGTTTCTTTGTTTTTAGAACCTGTAAAGGAGATCATAAAACAATTATAAAAATAACATAAAACGATCATTTAGAATCTGAGAACAGGACTAGGATAGTAGACAGTTGCACCTTTACAATAATAAGGTCTCAGGTTCTCATCACTTGCCATACGAAACTAAGCACAGTGTGATGTTCTGTGCAGGCGTGGTGCTCTCCGGTCGCGCCGACATCTTTGTACCGTAGCCATACTATGCAGCGTGGTTACTACTGCGTGGATAGTCCTCATCATCATCATTACAATACCCGTCACGAGTCTACTACTGAGCACATACCTCCCCCAAAGGAATGCTAAGAAGCAATGATACTCAGCATAGCTTGATCTCGTAAAAACATTTTATGTACTCGTAAGTATGTCTATCACGTATGTAAATTTATTTTCAATTTTCCTTCATGGTAGAGCCATGCTGCAGCTATATTATGGTTGTAGCACGAATGGGGAAGGACCACGCTCTCACAGAAAACCAGCGTAAAATAGCAGCTTATCCCTTTAATGCGCAGAAAAATAAAAGTTATGTAAACATGTTTTTTTCTGTTTAATTGCATTAATGTTGACTAATTATAGCCAAAAAAAAATAGAAATTATTATTATTATTGTATACTTTATCAAATATCGTATGTTAAAAATACTCAACATTGCGCGACATATTAGAACATTACCTAATAAATTGAGCGTTGAGTATTTTCAACATTGCCCTTGTAAAGGTAGTTTACTAATATATTAAAATAAAAGAACAAACTATAGAGAAAATCAAATAAAGTTTTATTTCTTATTAATTAATCATAGAATAAGTTGGCTAGACACAGCCTTAGTAGAAAAAATCAAATTCACATATTATTACTTAACATGGTAATTATAAAAACAGTTTCTCTTACTAACTAGACACAGCCTGAGGATACATTTTGAGCAAGTAATATTTGTGTACCCATTTTTACAGTATTTGCACCGTCCATACGACACAAACATGGGTAAATGTCCATTGTTGTCATATCGTACAGCATCAGTCGGTCTTGGAGCAGCTGGAGTAATTATTTTTTTAGGAGGATCGTTTTCCTGACTCACTGTCACCCTCGTTCTGTTTTTATGTAAAAGCTCAGATACTATCTGTATCCGAAATTTTTTGAGAGGTAAACGGTCTTTAGGATCAGCATGATCTCTCCTATGTAATAACCAAGCATTGTTGACGCAAATATCCAGAGATTGTGAAAACATGGTCATGTACCACCTCTTAGTTTTAAAGTTTGAACGGTATAGAGCGATAAGCATGTCCGCCAAGTCTACGCCCCCCATATGGGCATTATATTGCTTCACAATCTGAGGACAATTGACCTCCACCCTAGATTCTGTATCTTTGGAATACCTTTGAATCTTTCCCATTGGATGGGAATCGACGAATGAACTAGCCAATGTCACCGGCTTATTGTCATACCATCTGACAACAGCAAGTTTCGTGTCATTGCAGACGATCTGGGAGCTTGCACCCCGTCCTTTTTTTGCGAGAACTTTATCTGCTAGTAGTTTATTTTGACAACCTCTCAAACGATTACTTTTTATGGTACCAAGACTAAAAATACCGTATTCTTGACGCAAATGGTGAATTAGCTCCAATGACGTAAAGAAATTGTCAAAATATACGACTGCAGGTTTATCCTCAATGGTCTTGCAAAGTGCTAGCACAACTTTTGCTCCAAGACCGAGGCTCTCCTCGTATTCAGTAAAAGAATGATTTCTAAACGTGTCTTCTCCACCATAAGGAATGAAATCATACACTAAACCAGAGACGCCTGCTCGAACGAATAACTTCATCCCCCAGTTTTTTGGTTTTTTAGGTAGATATTGGCGCCTACTTCCCGCTCTTGTCCCTTTGTATGGGACCATCATTTCGTCGACGCTGTAGCGTTGTTCCTCCTTCATTTTTAAGCAATTAAGCCTAATTTTTTCAATAATTGGTCGAACTTTGTAGTAACGGTCGTCGTTAATGTTGCTGTTGTCGGCGAAATGTAAATATTTCCTTATTTTCTCATACTTTTTTAAAGGCATGATATCAGCGACAGCTGGATATCGCAAAAATCGACTCCAATAATCTCTGTAAGAGGGCATTTTCACTACCCCCATAATGAGTGTAATCGCTATGAAATCTTTCACATCATCGTTTGTTATATTTATAGATCTCGAATCGGTTTGAACTGAATATAAGTTTGTCTGTTCTACTATTAATTCGAATATGTCATTTGAAAAAAAGTCAGTGAAATAATCTAAGATTGAATGATGTGGATCGGGTGAGAAATCGTGTTTCGGTGGTTCAAATATAGCTGCGTACTGTAGTTTTCCTGCTCTGAATTTGAATGATAGAGGTTTTCTTACAAACTTCTTTACTTTTTTTGCCGCTGGGTGTTTAGGTTTTGTGTTCTGTCGTCGCTTTGAACGTGTATTAGGTGCTGCTGGAGACATGTTAGGTGATAATACTGATGAGACCGAATTCAGTGTGAATGGGAGCGGCTGATTTGACGGGCCTGGTGAAAACATTTGGTTAATTAAAGGAGACAAGGGAATTGTTGGTATGTGGAGTATGGAATCATTCATTATATCTTGTGGCATCGACGCAGACGAAATCAGAGTTTGGACTTCAGAACATGGTACTTCAGGTATGTTGCAATCATTTTGTTGAGGCGGAGTTGGCGATGGAGGCGTCGTCGGACGAGAATTTTTTTTTGGAATTGGGTAAGTATGACTTGCTTTCATTTTGTAGCTGTAGTGGCCTAGGTGATGGCGTCGCAGGAATCTCATCTTCGGAATGTGAATCTAAGCTTAAGTCATCAATTTCAGAGGGATAAGAACGTGGTTCAGATGATTCGTAGTTGTGTTCTGAGTCAGATGATTGTTGTTTTTTCGGTTTTGTGTATTTATTGATTATAACTTCATCTTCAGATGTGCTGCTGTCATCGGAGGGTGCTTTTGCGGGAGGTACAAGCGCCATAATTTTTTGCGTGCGTTGCCATTTAAGCATTTTCTGAAGCAAAATAACACAAAAAACGTAGGGCATCCAAAACCAAAGCGAAAAATGAACAATAATAGGGTCTCAGATAAGAGGGGAATAAATGTTAGTACACGCGCAATGTTGAATATACTCATCATGTTAAGTTATAGGACAAAACCTAAAGCATTTCGCAATGTTGAAAATACTCAACATAGAAAAAATCAGGTGAATAATAGTAACATTCGCATTGTTGAGTATATTCAACATTCAACTTGAAAACCATCAAACACATACTAAACCACAATATTTTCAGGCTTTTTTTCATTACGTGCATAAAATAATAATTTAAAATTAAAATGCAAGGCAATAATAGGTATCAATATGATTTAAATTGCTAATAATAAATTTTATTTACCTTAGGTCCAAACGGTGCAGATGAACGTGATGCCATTTTGCCGCCACTGTCAAAATCTGAAGTTTGTGACACACAACTTTCTTTTTACGAGTTGCGTTTCGTTTCACCTTTTTTTCAAAGTAAAAATATTTTTTCTACGCGTTCAAGTTTTCATACAGGATTTATTTATTTCGAATGTTGAGTATTCTCAACTTTACGAATTAAAGGGTTAATGCTGCTGTGTTTCGTACGGTGAGTGTAGATAACCAGAGACCCTTTTTACTGGCAAAGAGGCATTCCATCTTAGTCCTCACGGGTGACAACGCATCTGCATCTTGAGTCTTTATTGAGGATAGATGTAGATGTCTATGGATTAGAGTAACAACTTACCATCAGGTGGACTGTGTGCTCGTTTGTCACCCGATCCTATAAAAAGAAAAAATGTATTGAGATCTTTTCAAGGGTATGTTGGACGCAGCTGTTAGGGCCGTGTAATGTATAATTTACAAAAAAAAAAAAATAGGACCCATCCCTATTTACTAGTTTATTTCAAATTTGGTTAATAAATAATTTGTACGGTTATCATTAGCTAAGTGAAGCATTTAATCGTAAAGCTGACATTTTATGAGTTCATAAAAATAATGATTTACACGAGTACTACACATTAGATTAAAACCAACTTCATGGATTTTATAGCGTTTAATTTGAATTATTTTATAATTCCCGACGTTTCAGGTGCTTAATAGCATAAATGGTCACGGGGCAGGGCGTTTGACATCCGATGTGATAAATAACCACGGGCTACCTTAAACATTTGGATATTAATTTTTGGTCCGATCTATACAGTATGAGCTTACAGTATCTTTGAATCTTGCATGGTTGGTATGTTTAGGTTTGAATTTCATTTTATTAATTGTAGAATACTAAGTAATTCATCCTCAAAAGTATTCTTAACAATACTTAAAACAGCAACTTAAATTATATTTTCAAGCTGATAGCCAGAAAAAGTGAAGTAGTGCAAAACCATGCAATACAAAATTCTCAACCTGATTCTTTACGCTGCTGATGAAAGTCACTTTTGCATTTAAATTCGATATTACTTTTAAATAATGTGCTTGGTTTTGAACATCATATAAACTGCCTTGTCACTGGATATGAAGCATTGCATCATAGTCCCCTTGTAGTAGCGGCATCGACGAGTTTACGCTCCACGGAATTTCATGTAAGAAAAGTGCTGGTAGGTTCTCCCGTCACGGTTCTCTGAACGGTGTTATTCAAATAACTCTTGACTATTTTAATAATCTCTCGGATTTAGAGACTTGTGAAATGTAAAGAGATTATTATATTATTTTATTTAAATAGACTTTGGTCCCTTTGGAGTAAGGTAAAGTGCTAGTGTGGCATGCTACGTGATACTTTGGTAGCCTCCCATCTGAGAAATATCTTATTAAGAGTCGGGGTGGCATCAGATACGACTGAACTAAGTAGTGCAAATTTGAATCTCTGACAGATGACTACATATTTGTGCCATTCGCTAAAGAGACTATCGGTCAATGCTTTGCCCAAGCTTGTCGCAACTTGTACCACATCAACATCCGCAGAAGCTCCGCATTGATTATTACACATGCGGAAACGCTTGCGGATGTCTAAGTTAAATTAAAGCTGAAGTTCTGCAATTGGGGTCAAATCCTAGTATTTATCACCTCAGCTATTTCTGCTAGGTTGAAGTACTGAGTTCCGGTTTAAAAGAGAGGAGACTATATTTTTTTTATAGAATAGGGTGACAAACGAGCACACAATCAACCAGATGGTAAGTAGTTGCTGTGGCCCATAGACATCCACATTTATCCTCGTTTGCAAATCAAAATGCAGGTGCATTGTTCACCCGTCAGGACTAAGATGGAATGCCTCTTTTCCAGTAATAAGGGTCTACGGTTCTCTACACTCACCATACTAAAGACAGCAGCCTTAAGCTGCTATTTTACGCTGATGTTTTGTGAGAGCGTGGTACTTCTCCGGTCAAGCCGACCCATTCGTGCTACAATTATACTATTAATATAGCTGCAGCATGACTCTACCACGTATACAATTCAGATTCAATGTTCAGCAATGGACTTTTATAGACTATAGTGGATGGCTGGATGAAAAGATTAATAGAGCCATGGTAATAGCTATTTCATAGTTGTAGCGCTCGACCGGAGAAGGGCCACGCTCTCACAGAATAGCAGCGTAAAATAGCATCTCAATGCTGCTGCGTTTCGTGTGGTGAGTGTAGAGATCCGCAGCTTCTTTTTACTGTATACGAGGCATTCTATCTTAGTCCTCAGGTGTGATAACGCCGGTACATTTTGATTCTTAATCGAGGAAAGATGTAGATGTCTATCGGCCGCAGCATCCACTTACCATCAGGTAGACCCGAGTGCTCGTTCGTCACCCTATTCTATAAAAAAAAGAAAAAAAAAAGAATTTTAAGACTATATACAAATGTAAAGGCTTGCTACAAAATTTAATAACAAAAATCCCTTTCCTTCCAACTGTCAGTTGGCAGTACATCGGTCGATGCCAGCTGTCAGTTATCCAGAAAATTATTGTACATAAATCAAAACAGACGTTTGAAATATTTCTTCTGAGCCCGATTTCACCAAATAAGATTACACATAGAATTCACCATGTCATTCATTCAAGTAAAAAAAAATCACCTTTTTTTTACCCGTCTATCGCCTCTTACCCGTCTCTTGTCCACAAGATGATCATGGGCTAGTGGATTTTTTTAGAAGAGGGGGCAAATGAGCATGCATTTTATACGTGGTAGAGCCATGCTGCAGCTATATTTCTGGTATAGATGTAACACGAATGGGTCGGCTCGACCGGGGAAGGACCACGCTCTTATAGAATACCATCGTAAAATAGCAGCTTAATGCTGTTGTGTTTCGTATGGTGAGTGTAGAGAACCGGAGACCCTTTTTACCGGAAACGAGGCATTCCATCTTAGTCCTCACGAGTGACAACGCATCTGCATTTTGTAATCGAGGATAAATGTAGATGTCTATGGTACTGTGTGCTCGTTTGTCACCCTTATCCTATAATAAAAATGCAATGATGTTGTGTCGACCGCCACCCTTGAACAATTTCCACCCCAAAGCTATTGTCTAGTTGCAGGTGCGTTGTCAGCCTTTTAAAAAGAAGTAAGCTCGATTCTTGAAGGTCCCTAAGTCGTATCGTATAGTAGTGGGCTGGCAAGCCTCTAGATGATGGGGATGGTAACGCAAGTTTTATTGCGATATGCGTTGGAGAAATTTGGCGGCTGGAATTAATTCGGATGATTCCTCAGAGCGCTCCCCGTGGTAGGTGTGAAAGAAAATGCAAAGGGATGCAACATCTCTTCGCAGCGCCAATGAATCGAGCCGATCGGAAAGGACTCGGTCGTCGATGATTACAGCCGCTCTGTGCTGGATGCGATCAAGTAGAAGGAGCTGGTACTGAGAGGCCAAAGCCCAGAGATAGGAACACTATTCCATGTGAGGCGAAACCAGCGCCTTGTAATGTCGCAGGCGGTGGGCCGGCGTTAAATACTGTCCCGCTCTACTGAGCACGCCAAGCTTTTTAGAGGCAAATTGGTCTTCTCTTCCAAGTGACCATGAAATTGCACATCATTCGGTATGTCGTCGCCGAGAATTCCGATATTGGCTGAGGCAACAAGGAGAGTACGAAGAAATGGCGGAGTTACGGAAAAGGGATGTTTTTTAGTAGTAAACGCGCAATTTTCTTGGGATAAATATGAACTAGATTTAGACGCCCCCATCCGAGACTTTATTCAACAAAGATTCGACTTTCCGACACAAGTTTGTTCCAGTAATCGCCGAGGATTTCCCGAGGAATATTGATACGGCCGGTGTAGTTGTTTGCGTAGCAATGAATGTTATCGGTTTGCCACAGAAGAAACAACGTGGTGATAGCATGCGGCCTTGTGGAACACCAGTATTAATGGGCTTGTAATCGGATCAAGCACCGTCTACTACGATTTTAATGCTCCGATCTGCAAGAAAATTATCGGGAAACCCATAGGAAGGGAGCTTCGAAGCGTTTTGTGCCAAAGCCGATCAAGGACCTTCAAAATCCTTCAAAATGTCCAAACTAACGGCCAGGTGCCTAACT